TTTATTAAAATTTTATGTTGATAGCTGGGATGAAAGAAAAAAAACTGTGTACCATAATGTTTGATGAAATGGCTTTTGAACCTTCCCTTAGATATTCATCAAAAAATGGCAGTGTGCATGGTTTTGTAGAGCTTGATGTGAAATCAAATAACTCGGCTGATCGTGCACTAGTGTTGCTAGTGAGGGGTGCGGTCTGCAGATGGCAACAGCCTGTTGCTTTTTGTTTTACTGCAGGAGCAGCATCCTCCCCTCAACTGCAAATAATGTTGCAAAATGTGGTCACAGCAGTTTTAGAAACAGGTTTACTTCCCATTGCCCTTGTATGTGATCAAGGATCATCTTTACAATCTGCTTTGAAAAGCATGCAGGACAAAACAAAAGGGGATCAGACACGCGCAGGTTTAGAAACAGGTATGCATTACAATAATTTCTTTTGCTATAAAATGTTTCAACAACAATAGGAAATTATTTTAATAGATTTTTGATATCACTTGACAATAGCATCGAGCTATTGTCAAATGATATCAAAAATGTTTAAAGGATCAAAAAATAAGCTGTGAGTTGATATGACTCAGCACATATTTTTACTAAATACACTCCGGGATACAAAAGACACTTGATTTCAGGGCAGATAAGTTTGTGATATCAAAACAGTTATAACTTTCATAAATAAGTAAATAATAAATTCTATTATTTTAAATATTACTTATTTGTTATATTATCATCATTATTTTATGCATTATCACACACCTGAAATTTTAATAGTGACAAAATCGAGGTCAAGTCTGAATGTGAATGATAAACGATTTCCTTTATGTTTTTATTTCAGATGATACAGTTAAAATAAAAGGTGCATCACTTAGTGTGATCCACCCAACGACTACACAGCCCGAATAGACGCCTAATGTATGTACTTCTGCGTCCAAACATGTCTGTCAAAAGTCTGAGGTAAGCGGTACGGGGGAGGCGGGTTGAAATGCACGCTAATTGGTTAAAATCAAGGTTGCGACACTTGATAATAAGCAAATAGTGATGGGAACTTCTAATAAATTTGGTACCAAGTCTACTTAATCAGTACCAGAATAATATTCTACTATAAATTAGTACAAAATAAAAAAAAAACAAAAGACGTATTTAAGTAGGTATCGTATTTAGTAAAATACCTATAACTTTTTGTTTTAAAGAATATTTTTATTAAAACAAGCTTTCTTTACAATATTGAAATAATAATAGAATACTATTAAAAATAAAATAGCAATAGTTATTTAAACTGTCAAATTCACTTCCGTTTCCTACTAGTTTTGACATGGCGTCTTAGCAGTAAAGAGAGCGGAGTGCCGTCTATTAAAAATTATATCAATTTTATTATGATATTTTAAGAAGTATTGAACAATTTGATTTAATTATTAAATCAATTAATTCAAATATGGATTAACGAACATTCACTAAAAAAAAATTAGCTTACACCTATGTCGCTTATAGTATAAGCCTAACTACATTGAAAAGAAAGGGATGCATAGTCCGAAAATATCCGAAGATGTCCAAATAAATCAACGCGAGTTGCAAGTGACAAATATAGGTTGAGCTCTGATTTAATTTTAATTAATTAATTTGGAAATTAAAATTCACTTATCTATGAACAATGATGCCATTTTTTTCGCACTATTTTATTGTACAGGGAACCATGCAGCGCGTCTGTTGTATTTTATTCTCTTGAAAATTTACGAGTCACATGCAAGATGTTCACGGGTCAGGGAAGTGGTCGCCACTAAAGTAGATCGTGCGATCGTTTTCTCAAGTAAGACGTATTTGTCTAACGTGTTGACAGAAAGTGATTGCTGTGTAGTCGTTGGATCCACCGCACCTTATAAAAAGTATAAGGAATAATTTTCTATCAAAACAGATAACAACTGATAGCAAGGTATCAAAATGGCAAGATATTGTTGATGTATATTTATAGCTTCTCAGTAAATAGCCCTTATTACCAATCATGAATATGTAACATCCCTCTTACGATATGGATTGTTTGGGGAAATTCCGTTTATGCGGACAAAGCATTTAAAGTCCAAAAAAAATGTATAAAAGCGTTATGTGGTGTCGAATTTTATAAAAATTGACAACCATTATTTAAAAAATTTAACATTCTACCGTTACCTTGTCTGTACATACTAAAAATAAGTATTTTTGTGAAAAAGCATCCAAACATATTTCCATCACACAATGAAGTGTTGCGAAAAGAAGATAGCCGAATTATAAGTAAATTATATGTACCACAACAAAGGCTTAATATGTATAGCAAAAGTTGTTTTTGTATGGCAATTAAAATATTTAACATGTTACCAGAAAATATAAAACTATTAAATATTATTAAACTTAAAAGAACTTTAACTCAATGGCTTCTTGACCGTTGTTTTTACTCCGTAAAAGATTTTCTGACATATAAAATTGAGTATGTATGAAAGTGACACTATACACTGATGGCAGACCAGTTAGCAAAACTTTAAAAAAAACTTCGGAGACTGTATCATTTCTGGATGATTTATTCGATAGTGTAAATGGCTCTTCTCTAGATCACAAGAAATGTGGTAGAAAACCTTTAAGGAAGGCTGTTACGGACAACTCATTGCATCACAAATTTTGGAAGGATGAAAAGAAAAAAATTGAAAAAATTAAATTTATTGATAAGGGCAATGAAAAGTCCGTACCTACTCTAAAAAATTGGCCGACAACAATTAAAAGTTACGAAAGGGTGTGGCAAGTGTTACACAAAAAAAAATATATATATATAAATCATGCGACCTCGGTATTTCAATTCAGATCCCATTGAAAACTTTTTTGGGCGAGTGTAGTCGTTTAATTTTCGTAACAATGATCCAACTTGCCAAATTTTGATCAGTACTCAAATCTTTATTGTTAACAGGCCTCATTAAATTCCATTCAGAAACCTATAATTGCGAAGATGATAAAAGTGCAGTCTTTATTTAGAAAGCGATCTAAAAAGATAAACTGTAATACATCCAATATCAAACAGGATATTGGATGTATTGAAGAGAACCTTTCTACAGAAAATATTCTAGTGCAGGCAGCAAGGGAGCGATTAAATGTTTACTCAACAGCATATACCATTGGATAGGTTATACAAAAATACTTTGCAAAATAAATTGCTAAGAATGCGAGGCCAGTATATGTACTAAAGTAGATGGTAATGTACATAAATGGATCTCACAAAAAGAATATAAGCAAAGAAAGCTAACCTATCCCTCGGAATATACTGTGAGGCATTTTAGTTCAATAATAATAGAAACAAATAGATACTTGGAATATTGTGCACACAACTAAAATGTAAGCCAAAAAAATCAAAAAAAAAACGTATAAAAACCAAGTATTTATTTGAATTCATTAATTGTAAAAGCCATTAATATACATTATACTTGAATATTTTCTAATGCTTTTTATTAAACTTAGCATTTTCAACTAGTGAAACATAATTAATAGGATTCTGAAGGGCACGGACATATTAGAATTGAAAAGCGTATATTGCCGCCAATGCAAAAAAAGCTTTGAACAAGTATAGAAAAAGTTAAAAAATAAATCATTTTATAAATAATATACACTGCATGAAAATGCAGTGTATATTTCTACTAATTCTCCTCCTTCATAATAAAATAATAATAAAAAATTAGTAATTAAATGGCAAGGGTACTAAATTATGCTTGGTTGAAATAAAATTATTCCTTTGCCTACAGCCGATTTATATAAAAAAAAAACAAATATCATGTTCTAATTTGCTGTACGGTCCAAACTAAATGTAGGCATACTCCTTAAAGACCGCATTTCTACAGCATTTATTCTACTTTCGTGCTTCTTCTGCCACACCCAACTTTCACTACAACACATTAAAGTAGGGATTAACACAGCATTATGAATTACCATACGTGCCTCTTTTGACACATTCTAACTTTTCATAATACAGTGTAGAGCATTCACTCTATTTCCTACTAAATTATATAGCTACAAAAACCCTTAAGCTACTTTTTGACCCCATCCGCTGATAAATTGTTTGGATTGTAATTTTCTAATACGCTATCAAATCTCGGTAAACAAATTTTTCCTTGGAGGAATAGCAGGAACATATTATGTTCCTGCTATTCCTCCAAAGAAAAACTTGAGAGTAATCAGTACTTTCTCAGTACATCAGAGGGACATACCCAAGTTTGTCTGAAGACTTTTTTGAACACTCTGGGTTTGAAAGAGTCGACTATAAGATGCTGGATCGATAGATCTGAACATGGCATTGCTATAACAATACCACGACCAAACGACGACAATGATGAACGCGTTATTAAGAAAGAAGACATGACATTCCTCAAACAGTTCTTCGCTTCGTTACCAAAAATGCCCTCGCACTATTGCAGGGCATCTACATCGAAACAGTATTTAGAGCCGATTGTTGAAAACAAAAACTGTATTTTTATGCTGTACATCCAAGAGTGCGAAAAAGAGTCGGAAAGTCCACTTAGTCGCTGGACTATGTGCAAAGTTTTTGACGAGTTGAATTTAAGCCTGTTCTCGCCTAAAAAGATCAGTGCGATACTTGCTGTTCATACAATGTAGGCAACATAGCAGAGGAAGAATATCGATTACATATTAAGAAAAAAAGACATGGCAAGAAGCGAGAAAATGAAAGATAAAGAGAGGGCTCGTCAATTGGATGCACGTACATGTTTTTACACAAGATTTACAGGCCGTAAAGTTATGTCCACAACTTAAAGCCAGTGCTTTATATTTTAAAACATATAAACTATGTGTGCATAATTTTACGATGTATAATCTTGCCAACAAAGAAGTTACCTGCTATTGGTTTGACGAGAGTAACGTTGGTTTGACTGCTTCTGTGTTTATATTTACACTACTGAAGAAATGCATGTCAATCATTTTATATTCTGATGGTTGTACGGCGCAGAATCGGAATGTTTATCTATCGAATGCTCTGCTACAGGATGGGAAAAAACATCGTTATAGAACAAAATTTTTTGGAGAAAGGTCACACACAGATGGAGTTTGATGCGGTTCACAGTTCCATCGAGCAAAAATTAAAAAACCAGGAGATCTTTCTACCAAGTCAATTTGCGACGTTATCAAAACAAGCTCGACCGCAAAAACCTTATTTGGTTGAATATTTAGACTACAGTTTTTTCGACGACTTCTCAGACAAGAATTCGTTTATGTATGACTCAATACGGCCTGGTCGCTCCGTCAATGATCCTACAGTAACGGACATACGAGCACTGCAGTATAATCCAAGTCATGGAGTCATCAAATATAAATTGAACTTCGAGGAGGATTATAAAGATCTGCCACGCAGAATTCGACGAAGAGTAGTAATGCCCGAAACTTTACCCCCTAGACCAAAACTCTACCAAAGTCGCATCAAAATATCAGTAACTAAATGGAAACATTTACAGGAGTTAAAGACTGTTATTCCTTCTGACTGTCACGGGTACTATGATTCCCTACCCTATTGATCTCATAAAAGTCTGATTATAGATAAGAAGTTGATTCGTTTTAAGCAAAACATTTTTTATAATACAAATTATAATTTTTTCTTTTTTATAAAATAAACTTTTAACACCATTTTGTTAAACAATTTTATCATTTCCCTTCTCCATTTTATCTCCTTTACCTATATTAATTAGATGAAACATGACGTAGGTCAGTGACAACTACTGGCAACACTGCGGAATTCACCAAATTACATCAATGGAAAAGATTCTCGCGATTTTCACGAGTTCATATCATCACAGAGTTCATTTGTATTAATAATTAAACACAATACGGCCTTATGCGTAAGTTACATTCATTTCATACAGTTTTTTCACTCTCCTGTAAAGTAGCCATTTTTGACTTTCGTACTGTTAGAACTTCACTGACGATATATAAAGATTTTTTTTTGCGATATGGCTAAGGCGATAGCATATTGTAGTTCCACAAACACACCCACCGTTTTTCAAATACATAGTTGGACATTCGATACCGTTTCCTTGAGGCAAATTTTGCGTTTCAACTCACGCCAAATTGCAAGGTTCAAGGCATTGAGGAATTCGCCTTTAATCCCTTCTAACTCGACACCGCTATAAGGCCAAGGCGTCACGCATAGCTTCCACTGGGTTCACGAATTTAGTGGAGCCTATCAAGAGCGTGTTGTCGATGCCACTCGTGATCACACTGCGATGCAACTGCTTGCACTCCTCCGCTGTAACGCCTCCCACCACGAAGAGGATTACTGTCGGATTGTCTAACGGGTGCTTCGAACTGCGTGATTTCTTGCTTGTAAGAATACTGGAAATATGAAATTTAAAATAATAATGTATAATAACCATACTAAAACCATAGATGTGAAAGTTTGTGTGGATTATCCATTATTTGTAAATGAATTTTATAGATTCCATTACCCCATATTTACCCGATTTCAAAAAGAGGGAGGTACTCAATACAACTGTATGTTTTTTTTGTATTACCTCAGATCTTTTTTCTGAGTGAATTGAATTGTATGATTTATTTTTTATTTGAAAACTGGTGCTTCTTGTGTCTCATATAAATTTGATCAAAATCTGACCAGTAGTTGAGTTATCCTTAATAATGCGTATTTAATTGACTTTGAATACATTTATGATGTTGTCATTTTATTTATATTGAAGTCGGTTGTACACATTTTTTATATTTAACCACTTGTATTGAAGATATGTTATGCGATATTTTTGTCAATTGTAAAAAGAAATTTTAATAATTGTATTAAACAGTTTTTACTTCAGGGGTGGTCCTTTTGGGAGAAAACATTCTATTGCTAAGGATAGTCAGGTTGTGATATTCGTTCATCCACTCAAAAGCATAAAAATATAACTGTGCTAAGACACAGTGTATATATATATATATGAAATTAGAGCTCCGGCTTAAGAATATAAAGTTTTGTGAGAGACGACTGCGCTTAATACGAGAAAGACCATATGGCTAGCGAAAGAAAAATATAACATTAATGTGGATTAATTAAAAGATGAGGGTTAAGAGCGCGTTCAAAGCTCCCATACAACAGAGCGATTGTTACTAATTACCAATCAGAAACTAGTAATTGTCGAAACAGGGCAAAACAAATGCACACATGTAGTCAAAGTCCGATTGAGATGACCGATCGCGTCTTTCGCGGAACAAGTGGTAAAATAAAATTTTTTATATAACCGACTTTAGATAAAACGAGAACATCATCAATGTATTCGAAGTCAATTAAATAAGCATTATTAAGGGTAACTTAAAAACTACTGGTCAGATCTTGATCAAATTTATATGGGACCACACAAGAAGCACCAGTTTTCAAATAATCATACAATTCAGTTCACTCAGAAAAAAGTTCTGAGCCAACACACACAGTTGAATTGAGTACCTTCTCCGTTTTAAAGTCAATTGATAAAAATGATATATGTGCCAAAATAATTTGAATTGCATATGTAAATATAGTAAATTTCCAAAAATCTCTAGTGACATGACACAATCAGTTCTAAGTGATTGTACATATCTAACTTTTGTACCTTAAATCTACGTAAGAACTTTACAAATCAACACGCTCAGTTTGGGAAAACTAGTAGAGTAGACCGAATGCAAGCTAGGGAGGTCAAGTCCAGCCAGGAATAAAAATCATCCTATTGAGAACAAAAACCAAAAAACTGGGGTAACTGTGTTTTATTTTTATTTCTATAGAGAAAATACTATCCTACTATGCATTAAAAATTACAGCACTTAATAAGGCCAATTTAATAGATCACATTTGACACTTCATCAAAATTCAACAACGTAACCTTGTAACGGCGGGCATAAATTTTATTTATTTTTGCGAAGTTAGAACTGCATAATTGTTTAACTTTTTTCAATTACGATTACATATTTATTGTAATCATGACAAAGGTAATTTTACGATTTACTTTCACTAATAAACCATTCAAATTATAAACATAATAAACAATTTCTAAAAAGAACCGTACGTCGTTACAATGTTGCATCAGTGAATCCTTTTTCTTTTTAAACACAAGCGATGTTATCACAAAAACCAAATGGAAAGTTGAAAAGTAGATTTGAATGCAGTGAGTATATCTTATTCAGTTTGGAACATAATTTACGAAATTAAAATTAAATTCTACTTCGCGTTACTTAGCTTTGTGCGCAATCTTAATTAGTCCTGAAAATTCAGTCATTTATATCTCGTAACCTGTTAAATTATCAAAGACAAAGGTACTATACAGAGTTATTTTTCAAAGACTAGCCATATTTTACAATTAAGTTCAAATATATAAATAATGATATAATGTTATTGTAGTTTTTGAAAATATGAGTAAAAAAGGCTTCTACTTTCATTTGAAATTATCCAAAATTAATATGGTTTATGCATAGGGCAACAATGTCTTTGCCTACCGATCGACCCTTACGAATGTGTGCGTGTGCAGTAAAATCAATTAAAATAATGCATTACCACATATTTTGAATTTAAAAGAGAAAGAGGTCAGAATGTTTAAGATTATTTTTTAATAATCTTTCTTCACCATTTGCCTATATTACTTATTCTAAACCTTCTCTCCACATTTGGCAGGTTATTGCAAAATAACCCTGTATCATAGAATACTATAATACATACATAATAGAACGGGTTAGTGGGCGGAGCCCGTGTAGCTACTAAAATGTCACTAACAAGTCAATTCACACATATAACTGTCAACTCGAGATGTGTTTTGACGTTACAATCGTTTCCAAATTTCGCATGCAAATTATTAAGAAAATGCGAATTGCACACTATTCACAAAAAAATATGTATTAAAATTTAAATAATTTTTTTAATGATGATCTTGAACATTAATCAAAAGTCTAAACTGTTTAATTTTAATCCATCTGTCAACAGCGAATTGGGTTTGTAGTGATAATACGACGTAATTGCTTATTATGTGTGCTCCTGGCGACTCCGACCCTCGTACAAAATAAGGTTGACAACCATTCTATTGTGTATCATAGTATTCTATTCCCTGTATAGTAAAACTTCGCTTATCATACTTACTTAAATCCGCTTAGCAGTAGGTCCTTGATGCCTTCATTTCTGTGCCTCAGGTCGTTAAGTTCAGGCCGATCTGAGTTCACAATATCGTCAACCAGTTGCTGCAGCACCCCGCGGTACTCGTGACCTGAGCCAGTTTCGCACGGTTTTAGTACGGATGTGTACCTTAAAATAAATGAGATACTAATTGAGATATAAAGATGAGAGAAGTACTCTGTTTATACCTATAACTAATAGTAAATATATATGTAAGAATATCTACCATCCCATATCATCCCGTGGGTATCGTAAGAGGCGACAGAGGGAAAGAAATCAGGAGATGAACAGTAGCTTCGAAACGATTAATAATAAAAAACTGCGGTTGCCAACCCGCTTGCCAAGCGTGGCAACTACGGCTAAATCTATCCATGTAAAGCTAGCTACGGGCCTGTGTTCAACAGTGGTCATACGGTGGCTTTAATCAATTAACCCTTCAATCTCTTAGAGGTCGAATTCGACCGCGGTGCTATTTCGTCGAAATTCAAGCGATCGGATTCGACCGCGCACACCCACAGCACTTTAAACCATTAATGCCTATATTTAGAGACTACTTTTCTATGAAGAAGTTTGGCATTATAGAATCAATATAAAAATTTCTATCCTCTAGTGCAATACAAAAAAAAAACAGTTATCCTATGAATATTTATTTATCGTACGTCGATCGTACGCCATTTTCGCGTGAACGTTATTGTGTTGATTTTAGGATTTTTCTAGTGTTTTAATATAGTGTTTTATTATAAAATTGTAATGAAAGTTTTTGTGTGAATATAATTTATCTTTTTACGTAAATAATTTCGAGTAATATATATTGAAATAAATGTGATTTTCACGCTGCCGACATTTACTTGGTAATTTTTTTCTTGTTATCAAAATACAATAGTCTTTTTGTAATGAAGTAAGACGTGACTTTTAATAGAGAATTTTGTATAGATTTTATAATTCCAAACTTCTTCATAGAAAAGTAGTCTCTAAATATAAGTTTTAATGGTTTATAAGTGCTGCGGGTGGGTGCGGTCGCATGCGACCGCTCGGGATATGCGGGGCGCATGCGTCTGCATTGGTTTTTTTATGGAGATTGAAAGATTAATGAATAAAAAAATTAAACCCTTGAAACTCACTGAGTCCCAAACTACTATCAATGTAATGAAAAATAGCTCACCTATGCAAAATTTTCCTCATCTGAGCGACATCTTTCAACCTGGTCAAGATCTTATTAGCTATCTCATCACATTCTTCAGGGCTTGCTATATGCGCATCCATGTTGGAGAATAAAATCTTGTGGTCCTCAAATATCGCAACACTCAGTGCCTCAGTGAGGCTGTCTTCGTGCTGCTTATTAAATGATACTTCAGTTCCAGTAAGAGAGTAGACATGTGTGGTCAAAGCTAAAAGATTCTC